ACGATCCTCGCGCTCCTCGGCACGCTGACCCTGCTTCAGTACGTCCGGTCCGTGGATTTCGGGATCGACGAGCTGCTGATGAAGCACACGATCACGGTCGAGACGTCGCACCCCGGTCGGATGGCGCCGCACGCCGCGTTCTGTTTCGCGCTGCTCGGCATCGCCTCGCTCCTGGCGTCGTGCCGGGCGTCCTGGGCGTGGTGGTCGCTCCTCGCGGGCGTGGCGGTCTCGGCGATCGGGAGCGCCTCGCTCTTCGGGTACCTCCTGGATATGCCCCTGCTCTACGCCTGGGGCGAGTTCACCAGCATGGCGCTGCACACATCGATCGCGTTCGTCGTGGTCGGCTTCGGGATGTACGCGCTCGCGGCTCGTGCCGCGAGGACGCCACGCGGGCGCCGCCCGGCGTTCGCGCCGGCGTCGGTATCCGTCGCGGTCGTTTCGCTCAGCCTCTGGAGCTGGCAGACGATGACCGCCCAGGAACGCCTCCGCAGCGAGAACATGATGCGGCTGTACGGGCAGGACGTCTCACTGCTCATCGAAACAAACTTGCAGGAACATTTCATGGCGCTGACGCGCATCCGCGAGCGCTGGGAGCAGGCCGGCGGGCAGAGCCGCGACGCGTGGGCGAGCGACGCGCACAACTACGTGGTGGACATCTCGGGCATCCGCCGGATGACCTGGGTGGATCGCGAGGGCGTCGCCCGGTGGATCATCCCGTCCGCCGGGGCCGTCACGGAACCGGGCCGGCAGCTGAACCTGGACGACCGCTGCGCCGAGGCGCTGCGAGTGGCGCAGGCGGAGAGGAAAATCTGGGCGAGCCGGGCGGTCGACGAAGAACGAGGCGGCGCCGAGAGCTTCGTCTTCGTGCCGCTCTTCCCCGACGGCGTCTACGACGGGCATTTCCTCGTGCTGTTCGATCACGCGGAGTTCCTGAACGATACCTTCGAGTGGCTCAGCCCGAACTACGGCGTGCGCGTGTTCCACGGGAACCGGAGCGTGTTCGCGCTGCGCGCCCGAAGCGGGACGGACGCCACCGCGGTCTCGATGCACTCGCCCTACGGGATCGACTACCGGATCGAGTTCACGCCCCTCCCCGGGTTCCACGCGGACATGGGCTCGGCGTGGCCCGAGGCCACGCTCGTCCTCGGGGTGCTCCTCGCGGGGCTGTTCAGCACGATCCTCGTCAACCTGCAGCGCAGCAGGGGAGCGTACGCCCGGGAGCGCGAGCTGAGCAACGAGCTGCGGATGCAACGATTCGCGATCGACCGGCACGCGATCGTGGTCGTGACCGACCCCGACGGCGTGATCACTTCCGTGAACGACCGTTTCACCGCGGTCTCGGGCTACACGCCGGCGGAGATCGTGGGCCGCACGCACCGCGTCCTGAGCTCCGGGGTGCACGACGAAGCCTTCTACCGCGAGATGTGGTCCGTCATGCAGCGGGGCGAGGTCTGGAGCGGGGAGATCTGCAACAGGGCGAAAAACGGACGCCTCTACTGGGTCGACACGACGATCGTTCCCTTCCTGGACGCGCACGGCACGATCGAGCGCTACGTGGTCATCCGGACCGACATCACCGAGCGACGAGAGGCCGAGCAGGAGCTGCGCGATTCCTACGAGGTGATCGAGCGCACGAACGAGGAACTCGAGCGGTTCGTCTACACCGCGTCGCACGATCTCAAGTCACCGATCGTCACCGCGCAGGGGTTCCTCGGGTGCCTCAAGCACGACCTGGCGGAAGGCCGCGACGATCGGGTCGCCGACCTCATCGCTCGGGTCGAGAACGCGACCATGCGCATGCGCATGTGCATCGACGACTTGCTCGAGCTGAGCCGCGTCGGCCACGTCACGAGCGATCCGGAGGACGTCGACCTGGACCGGGTCGTGCGCGAGGTGGTCCGGTCGCACGAGAACGAGGCGGAGCGACGCGCCGTCGTGGTGGAGATCGGTCGGGACCTCCCGCCGGTGCACATGGACCCGAACCGCACCGTCGAACTCGTCGACAACCTGTTCACCAACGCCCTGAAGTACGGCGCGAGCAGCGAAGGATCCCGCGTGACCATCGGCGCGACACGCAACGGCGACACCGTGGACTTCTTCGTGCGCGACAACGGCCCCGGCATCAAGCCGGAGTACCACGAGAAGATTTTCTCGCTCTTCGAGCGGCTCGACAAATCGCAAGAGGGCACGGGGGTCGGCCTCGCGATCGTGAAGCGCATCGTCGAGAACGCCGGCGGGCGCATCCGCGTGGATTCGCCGCCCGATGGCGGGACCACGTTCACCGTGACGCTGCCCGCTGGCCGGAACGCGTCGCCGAGCGGTGTGGAATCCGTCGGCACATCCGAAAAGTTCAAACCAACGTGCGAGGTGACATCATGAACGGGACAGAACAGATGCGATATCTCCTTGTCGAGGACGACCCGGCCCACGCCGAGCTGATCCGGTTCGTATTCGAGAGCGAGGGCGTGGACGTCCAGATCGATCACGTCGAAGACGGAGAGGCGGCGCTGCAGTACCTGCGCGGGGAGGGCGGGTACTCGGAGCGGCCCCGCCCCATGGTGGTGCTCCTGGACATCAACCTGCCCAAGGTGAGCGGGCACGAGGTGCTCGAGCAGGTCAAGGCGGACGTGGAACTCCGGCTCATCCCCGTCGTGATGCTGACAACGTCAAACGCGGAATCGGACCGCAAGCGCGCGTTCTCAAATCACGCGAACAGCTACCTCACCAAGCCCATCGATTTCAAGCAGATGCAGACCCTGCTCAAGGACGTCCACACCTACTGGACGACGTGCAACAAGTCCGCGGAGACCAACTGACCGGAGACGGCGCCGCTCCGGCGTTCACGCGCGGGGGTGGAACTTCTGGTGCACCGACTTCAGACGCGGCTGGTCCACACGCGTGTAGATCTCGGTGGTGTTGATGTTCGAGTGCCCGAGCAGCTCCTGCACCACGCGGAGGTCCGCGCCGCCCGAGAGCATGTGCGTCGCGAACGTGTGGCGGAGGAGGTGGGGGTGCACGCCCTTGAGCCCCGCGGCCTTCGCGTGCTTCTTCACGATCTGCCACACCGCGACCCGTTCGAGCGGGCGGCCGGTCCGGGAGAGGAACACGCGACCCTCGTCCCGCCCGTCGTCGCGGACGAGCAGCGGGCGGCAGTCCGCGTTGTAGTCCTCCAGCTTCCGCTCGGCCGGGGCGCCGAAGGGGACGAGCCGCTGTTTGTTGCCCTTGCCGGTGACCTTGATGACCCCCAGCGTGGGCAGGACGTCCGTGGTCTGCAGGTGACCGAGCTCGCTGGCGCGGACGCCGCAGGCGTACATGAGCTCGAGGATGGCCCGGTCGCGGATCCAGAGGGGGACCGGGGCCTTGCCCCGGGGCGGCGCGGCCGGCGGGGCGGGGGCGTCCAGGAGCTTGGCGATGCTCGCGTCCGTCATCACGCCCGGCAGGCGGCGCCAGGTGTGGGGCCTCTCGAGCCACTGCGCGTGGTTTTCCTCGACCCGGCCCTCGGCGTGGAGCCAGCGGAAGAACATCCGCACGGTCGCGAGGTGACGCGTGATCGAGCTCGCGCTGAGGTTGCGCACCTTCTTGAGGTCCGCGAGGTGCGTCGCGAGGTGGCGCGGCGTGACCTCGGTGATCTCGGTGACGCCCGAGGAAACCAGGTCGTTGACCAGGTCGCGCAGGTCGCGCGAGTACGCGTCGAGCGTGTTCCGGGCCAGGCCGCACTCGACGCGCAAAAACGTCATGAAGGAGCGCACGCAGGATTGGAGCGACGAGTCTCTCATCAGCGGGTCATTCATCGGCGTGCCCCCGGATCCCTCCGCACCGCGCACGATCTGCGCTCCCTCTACGTCAAATAACCCCGAACTCTAGGCCGTCGCGCAAGACTGACGCGACGGAATCCCTGATTGCAGGCGGGGAACTGTTTGGCACGCGAGTTGTGTCTGCACGGGTGAAGGATTCTCACCACGGCAAGGAGTGCCGACATGATCAACCCCACGGCCGACGCGGTCCGCGCGATCGCCGAGCACCACACGAAACGACACGCCGGCGCGACCGCCGGCCCAGCCGGGCGACCCGCACCGGACGAGGTGGGCGTGAGCCTGCTCGCCGAGCGTCTGCTCGCGGCCGCCCGCATCGCCGCGACGCTCCACGCGCAGGCGGCGGGCGTCGGCACGCACGCCGAACACGGAGGCGCGCAGTGAACTACGGCCTGTACATCTCGACCTCCGGCATGCTCACGAACATGGCCCGCCTCGACGTGGCGTCGAACAACCTCGCCAACGTCAACACCGTCGCCTACAAGCCCGATTTCGTGAGCGTCGCCCAGCGCGACCCCGTCACCATCGAGGACGGCCTCTTCCACGAGGATTCCAACGAGCTGCTCGAGAAGCTCGGCGCCGGGCCCTGGCCCGGGGCTAACGCCGTGAACTTCAAGCCCGGCGCCATCGAACTCACCGGCCAGGACCTGGACGTCGCGATCAACGGCGAGGGCTTCTTCGTCCTCCGCGACGGCGGCCCCGAGGACTACGCCTACACCCGCGACGGCAATTTCGCGGTCAACGACCGGAACATCCTCGTCTCAGCCTCCACCGGCAAGCCCGTGCTCTCCGAGGACGGACGCGAGCTCCGCATCGACACCTCCCGCAGGCTCATCATCCATCCCGACGGGCGCGTCGAGCAGGACGGCGGCGAGCTGGGCCAGCTCCGCATCCGAGGAATCTCGGACCCCTCCACGCTGCGCAAAGCGGGAGACAACCTCTTCAAGATCGACGAGAACGTCCCGCTCGGGGTGAACCTCGAGACGCGCGTCGGCGCGGTCCTCGAGCAGGGCGCCCTGGAGCAATCGACCGTCGACCCCGTCTCGGCGACCCTCCAGGTCACCTACGCCTCGCGGGCGGCCGCGGGAGCCTCCCGGATGATCCGCTACTTCGACGGATTCATGGATTCAGCGATCAACACGCTCGGCAAGGTCTCCTGACCCCGCCGCACCCTGAGGAACACGAACCATGGCGTACATCGCCCTCCAATCCGCGTCCACGGGCCTCAGCGCCCTGAGCACCAACCTGGACGTCATCGCGAACAACCTCGCGAACGTGAACACCGACGGATTTCGCGCCTCTCGCGTGAACTTCGAGGACCTGATGTACCAGCAGCGCGCCATGCCCGGTGTCGAGAACACCGACGGCGACCGCAAGCCAACGGGCTTCTTCGTCGGCCTGGGGACGCGCATCTCCGGCACCCAGTTCGACCTCCGGCCGGGATCGCCCATCAACACCGGCAACCCGCTCGACGTGACCATCGAGGGCCCCCGGGGCTACTTCCAGGTCATCGTCGAGGACGACCGCGCCGAGGGCGGCATCGCCTACACACGCTCCGGCAACTTCACGGTGAACTCCGAGGGCGACCTCGTCCTCGCGAGCTCGGAGGGCCGCCTCCTCGAGCCGAACATCAACATTCCGGACGGCGTCACCGGCATCTCGGTGGGCGCGACCGGCATCGTCGAGGGGCTCCTCCCGGGCGACGCCGAGCCGACCGAGTTCGGCCAGATCATGCTCGTGGACTTCACCAACCCGGGCGGACTCATCCCGCTCGGCGAGACCCTCTTCGCCGAGAGCGCCGGTTCCGGCACCCCGATCGAGAGCGAGCCGGGCGAGAACGGCATCGGCCGCCTCATCTCGGGCTTCATCGAGTCCTCGAACGTCGACGCGACGACCGAGCTCGTCAAGCTCATCCGCACCCAGCGCGCCTTCGAGATGAACTCCCAGACCATCCGCGCCGCGGACGAGGCGCTCCAGACCCTCTCCCAGCTCACCAGGTAACGCCACGATGATCAGGCTCCTCGCGTCCATCCTGCTCGCCCTCTCCTTCGCGCACGCGGCGTTCGCCGGCGGCATCACGCTCAAGCGGGCCGCCCGACTCCAGGCGGGCGAGACGCTCACGCTCGGCGAGATCGCGCGGCTGACCGAGGACGTCGACCGCGAGCTCCGCGCGGTGCCCGTCGCCCTCCCGGGCGACGCGGGCGGGGCGGTCACGCTCACGCTCGAGGACGTCCGCGCCGCGCTCCGCGACGCGGGGCGCGACCCGTCTCGCTACGCCCTGAGCGGCTCCTCGTGCGCCATCCGGGTGATCCGCCCGGAGGCGGCGGAGGCGCCGGCCGTGGCGCCGGTCGAGGCGGCCTGGACGCCCTCGAACGACGAGCACTCCTTCCACACGCGGATCCGGCGCATCCTCGAAGAGCACTACGCCGCCGAGGGCCCCGACCTGCGGGTCTCCTGGCAGGATCGCGACCACGGCTTCCTCGACCGCACCGACCCCAACGTCCGCCTCGTGGTGGAGCCGCTCTCGACCGGAGACGCCGCCCGGGCCGCGCTGCTCGTCCGCCTCTGGCGGGACGACGCGATCATCGAGACGCACACCCTCCGCGCGGACATCGAGATCCGCCGGACGCTCTGGTACGCCGCGAGGGACATCCGTCGCGGCGACACGATCTCGGACGCCGACCTGCGTGCCGAGCGCGGCTTCTCCCGCCCGGACGGCAACGATCTCATCGAGACGGCGGACGAGGCGGTGGGCATGATCGCGCGGAAAACGGTCCGCGAGGGCGTGGCGATCCTGAGGAGCCACACCGAGCCGCCCCTGCTCGTGGAGCGCGGGCAGATCATCACGCTGTACTGCATGCGGGGCTCGATCGAGGTCCGCACCACCGTCCGCGCCCGTGAAGATGGCGTGCACGGTGAGGTCATCGAAATCCAGAAACCCGGCTCGCGTGAGACCATGTTCGCGCGGGTCGACGGCCCGTCGCGCGTCACCGTCGCCGGCGCCCCGATCACCGATCCCACGAAAGGGACCATCCGATGAACACGACACGCACCATCGCCGCGACGGCGCTCCTCGCCCTCGCCGCCGGCTCCGCCAACGCCCAGAGCCTCTACGAAGTCGGCCAGCCGCAGCGCGACCCCCTGCGAGGCAACGTCGGCCCGCAGACCTCCGGCCCGACCGATTCGCCGACCGCGGGCATCGCCCTGCACGACGTGAGCCTCTTCGCCATCACCCCGCCCGAGCCCCGCGTCTTCCAGGAGAACGACCTGGTGACCGTCATCGTCTCCGAGCGGAGCCAGACCGAGCGCAGCCAGTCGCTCGAGACGGAGAAGGAGTACGACCTCGAGGGCGAGCTCTCGAACTTCCTCGACCTGAGCGAGCTGCTCGAGGGCCGATTCGTGAATGACGACGACGACAACTTCCCGCAGATCGGCCTCGACCTGAGCAACGAGTTCAACGGCGAGGGCGACTACGAGCGCGAGGACCGCGTCACCGACCGCATCACCGCGCGTGTCGTCGAGGTCAAACCCAACGGCACCCTCCTCCTCGAAGCACGACGGACAATCAAGACCGACGAGGAAGAGTCCGTCGTCTCCCTCTCCGGCATCTGCCGTCAGGAGGACGTGACGACCAACAACACCGTCCAGTCCAACCAGCTCTTCGACCTCGCGCTCGTCGCCGAGAACGAGGGCGAGATCCGCAAGACCGCCAAGCCCGGCCTCATCAAGCAGGCCATGGACCTGCTGTTCAATTTCTAGATTTGAGCGCTCCGTTGAGGCCCTTCGGCCTCACACTCGCTCCTTTGGGCGACTCGACGGAGTGAATCCGTCGAGTCGCGGAGCTCGCTCAGCATCGCCAGCACCTTCGCCCTTGGTGGGCAGACCGAACGCCGCGGGAACCACGACCCCCGCGGCGTTTGTCGTTCGGCGCGGAGCCGGTCGCAACGTCCGGATATGGCACTCGCTTTGCGTCCCGTGGGTCATCATGACCCGCACACCGACCCATCCGGCTCTCTGGCGCACGCTCGTGCTCGTTCTCGGCGCGGTGTGTGCGCTGCTCGGCGCAACTCCTGCGCAGGCGACCACCGTCCGCGACCTCGTCCGCCTCGACGGCCACGGCGAGGCCCGCATCTGGGGCCTCGGCTTCGTCACCGGCCTCCCCGGCACCGGCGATCCGCTCACCACGCTCCCCCTCGCCCGGCAGCTCGCCGCCCTCATGGAACGCGGCGGCAACCCGGTGCCGAACCTCGAGGAGCTGGCCGCGGGGCAGAACATCGCCATGGTCATGGTCACCTGCGACGTCCCCGGCGAGGGCGCCCGCTCGGGCGACGCGTTCAACTGCACTGTCACCTCGCTCCACAACGCCCAGTCCCTCGAGGGCGGCGAGCTGTTCATCACCCCGCTCAACGGCCCCATGAAGTCGCACGGCGTCTTCGCGATGGCGGCCGGGCCGGTCTCGATCGAGGGCGTCACGCCCACCCGGGGCGTCGTCCGCAACGGCGCGAAGATGATCATCGACCACGTCCCGACGGTCATCCAGCCCGACGGCTCGCTCGAGCTGCTCGTCCAGCCGGAGTACGCCGGGTGGTCGATGACGCGTCTCATCGCGGACGCGATCAACTCCGATCAGGAGGGTCTGGGGAGCAACGGCGAGATCATCGCCCGCGCCATGAACGAGCGATCCGTCATCGTCACCATCCCCGAGGCCGAGTTCCAGAGCGGCGTGCCGGCGAACTTCATCGCGAACATCCTCGAGATCTACATCGACCCGACGCTCCTCTCGCTCCCGGCCAAGGTGCTCATCAACGAGCGCGCCGGGATCATCACGATCACGGGCAACGTCGAGATCTCCCCGGCGACGATCACCCACAAGGACCTGGTCATCACGACGGTGGTCCCCGAGCCGCCCGTCGACCCGGTCAACCCGCGCCTGGAGACGACGCGCTGGCACAACATCACGACCCGCCCGGACGACCGGCGCTCCATGGCGAGCCTGATCGACCTGCAGAACGCCCTGAAGGATCTGGACGTCCCGGTCGTCGACCAGATCGCGATCCTCAAGCAGCTCCACCGCTCCGGCCACCTCCACGCGGAGTTCGTCGTCGAATGAACCTCACCGCCCTCCCAACCGCGAGCCTCGACGAGATCCGCGCGAACCCGACGCCGGCGAACGCCGCGCGCTCCATCGCCTCGGCCGACCGCCGCCCGGGCACCGCGAGCTTCCGCGAGCGGCTCGAAGCCGAGCGGGCGCTCACCGACCCGGCGCAGATCGCCAAAGCCGAGGCCCGCCGAGAGCTGGAGGAGAGTTCGAGGGAGAAAGCCGAAGAGTTCGTCGCGCAGGCGCTGGTGTACCCCATGCTCAAGGAGGCCCGCGAGTCCGACATGGCGTGGGGCCCCTTCCAGCAGGGCAAGCACGAGAAGGCGCTGAGCTGGCTCATCGACGAGCGCGTCGCGCAGGACATCGTCGGCGCCAAGAACTTCCCGCTCGTCGACCGCGTGGCCGAGTCGCTCATCGAGACGAGCGTCCGCCTCTCGCAGGTCCTCGCGGACTCCGAGGGCGACGGCGCCCGCAAGCCAACAGACGTTTCGCGCACACCACACGAAGGAGACGCGTCATGAACAAGACGACGCCAACCCGGGCGCCCATGGCCGTGCTCTCGCCCGAGCAGACGCTCCGCGAGCTCGACCGGCTCGTGACCAACCTCGAGACGCAGTACGGCGCGATGCTCCAGGCCGTCGAGGCCCACGAGAAGGCGATGCGCGTCGCCGATTCCGCGACCATGGCCACGTGCGTCGCTCGCGAGAACGAGGCCGTGCAGGCCATCGCCGAGCTCGACAAACGACGGGCCCACATCGTGAGCCTCTACAAGAAGAGCAACGGCATCACCGCGCAGAACGACGGAGCCGAGCCGCTCACGATCACCGCGATCGCGCGCCGCATCGGCGGCGAATCCGGCGGCCGACTCGCCGCCCGCGCCGAAGAACTCCGCGGGCTCATCGGCCGCGTCCGAACGAAGACGGACGCGCTCCACATGGCCGCGAAGATGCTCGGCGCCCACATGGACGGGCTCATGCGGCAGGTCATGCAGATGCTGAACCACGCGCAGGTGTACTCCCGCGGCGGCTCGGTCGGTTCCGGTCCCGCGGTCACCACCGCGCTGGACATCACCTCCTGACGAGGAACGGGCGATGGGACTCACCAACTCGCTGTTCATCGGGCAGACAGCGCTCACCGCGAGCCAGATCGCCCTCCAGGTGACCGGCAACAACATCGCGAACGTCTCCACCCCCGGCTTCCACCGGCAGGTGGTCACGCTCGAGCCCACCCGGGGCGGGTTCATCGGCAACCGCGCGACGATCGGTCGCGGCGTCGAGCTCTCGCGCATCGCCCGCGCCATCGACCCGGCGCTGCAGAACCGCCTCCGCTCGACGATCTCCGACCAGCAGGCCGCGCAGATCGGCCAGGCCGCGCTCGCGCAGCTCGAGGCGCTCACCAACGAGCTCACCGGACGCGACCTCTCCACCCAGCTCTCCACGTTCTTCAACGCGTTCTCCGAGGTCGCGAACGACCCGACCTCCGCCGTGGTCCGCGAGGCGGCGGTGGAGAACGGGGCGGCGCTCACCTCGTTCATCCGCGGGCTCCGCGAGGACGTCCTCCGCACGCGCGACCAGCTCGACGCGCAGCTCCGCGGCGCGGTGGAACGCGCCGACGGCCTGCTCACCGAGATCGCGGACCTGAACAAGGCCGTCGTCCTCGCCGAACTCGGCGGGAACAACGGCGAGGACGGCAACCTCCGCGATCAGCGCGACTTCCTCATCAACGAGCTCTCCGCGCTGCTCGACATCTCCGTCCAGGAACGCGAGAGCGGCGCGGTGGACATCTTCGTCGACTCCAAGCCCGTCGTGCTCGGCGCCGAGTCCCGCGGGCTCGAGCTCCGCGTCCGCTCGACCGACGACGAGCTGCTCGTCGAGGTCATCACCACCGAGTCGCAGGAGGTCTCGAACATCACCTCCGGCCAGATCGGCGCCCTGCTCGACCAGCGCGACAACGAGGTCGACCGAACCCTCGACGACATCGACGAGCTCGCCGCCGCGATCATCCACGAGGTCAACCGCCTGCACACCAGCGGCCGCCCGACGAGCCGCATCACGGACCTCACCGGCACCCGCCGCGTCCCGCCCGCCGACCGCGCCCTGGCCTTCAACGACCCGACCAACGAGACCTTCGCCGACCTGCCCTTCCGCGTTCGCAACGGCAGCTTCGAGGTCGTCGTCCACGACGGCAACGGCAACGCCTCGACGACCGTCATCGAGGTCGACCTCGACGGCATCGACGCCACCGGCGCCGCCGGATTCACCGACGACACCTCGCTCGACGACATCGTCGCCGCGCTCGACGCGATCTCGAATCTCAACGCCAGCCTCGACAGCGCCGGCCAGATCCGACTCACGACCGACGCCGGGTTCGACGTCAGCTTCGGCAACGACACGAGCGGCGCCCTCGCGGTCCTCGGCGTCAACACGTTCTTCTCGGGCGAGGACGGCGCGACCATCGCCGTCCGCCAGGCCCTCCGCGACGATTCCGGCCTCCTCTCCGTCGGCGCGGACGACGGCATCAACGGCACCGCGCTGAGCATCGCCCAGCTCCGCACCACGGGCGTGCAGTCCCTCAACGGCGGCACGCTCATCGACCGCTGGCTCCAGTCCGTCGAGGAGACCGCCGTGCGGTTCAACTCGACGAACACCCGCGCCCAGGCGCTGAACACGGTGCGGCAGTCGCTCGAGGCGCAGGAGGCGGCGGTGGGGGGCGTGAGCCTCGACGAAGAGTCGCTCAATCTCATCACCTACCAGCAGCAGTTCACCGGCGCGTCGCGGTTCCTGTCCGTGGTCCAGGAACTCACGGACATCCTGGTCTCCCTGATCTGAGGCATTCGACATGGGCGGCATCCCCTCCAACATCTCGCGCGTCCCCAACCTCCTCGCGACGCAGCTCATCTCCCGGAACGTCACCTCGTCCAACCTCGGGCTGCTCCGGCTCCAGGAGCAGCTCTCCTCGGGCCAGCGACTCAACCGCCCGAGCGACGACGCGGTCGCCTCCTCCATCGTCTCCACGCTCGACCTGCGCCTGGAAGAGGGCGAGCAGCGCGGGCGAAACCTCTCGCACGCCTCGAGCGTGCTCAACACAATCGATCAGGCCCTCGCGGAGCTCAACAACTCCGTCGTCGAGGCCCGCTCCATCGCCTCGAGCGAGATCGGCGTCGGCTCGGACGAGTCCACGCGCTCCGCGCAGGCCGCCGTCATCGATTCCCTCCTCGACGGCGTCTTCCGCACGCTCAACTCCAGCTTCGGCTCCCTGCGCCTCTTCGGCGGCGAGCGCACCGCGACGAACCCCGTCGAGCGCTTCGATTCCGGGTTCCGCTACACCGGCGCCGGCGAGGGCCTGTTCACCGACCTCGGCGGCGGGATCGAGTTCCCAATCACCATCGGAGCCGACGACGCCGTCGGCGCCGTCTCCGCACGCGTCCGGGGCGACGTCGACCTCAACCCCATCCTCACCGTCGACACCCGCCTCACCGACCTCCGCGGCCCGGACGGCCCCGTCGACAACCTCGGCTCCGTCGAGATCAGCATCGACAACGGCGGCGGCCCCGTCACCGTGATCGCCGACTTCTCCGAGGCCGAGACCATCGGCGACGTCGTGGACATCATCGAGAGCAACATCCGCGCGACCGACCCCGGCGCGCTCGCCGGCGGCTACCCGGGCGGCGTCAGCGTGATCAACGACCGCGTCGAGCTCTCCGGGCTCAACGCCGGCTACACCATCATCTTCAACGACGGCGCGACCGGCGACACCGCGCGCTCCCTCGGCCTCGACAACGCCCTGTTCACCAGCGCCTCGCGCTCCAACCCCGACCCCAACGCCGATCTCAATCCCCGCGTCACCGAGCGGACCACCGTCGCGGCGCTCAACCCCGCGACCGCCGTCGACCCCGGCACCATCACCATCCGCAACGGCGGGCGCGTCGGCACCGTCACCGTCACGCCCGCGACGACCATCGGCGAGCTCCGCGAGGCCATCGACCGGCTCGACATCGGGGCCCGCCTCGAGATCGACGCCGACGGCGACACCATCAACATCGTCAACGAGCTCTCCGGCTCACGCCTGAGCGTCGAAGAGGGCGGCAACCTCACCGCGACCACACTCGGCGTGCGCACCTTCGCGCAAACAACGCCCCTCAGCGCATTCAACGACGGCCGGGGCGTCGAAATTGCCGACGGCGAGACCGACCCCACCACCGGCCTCCCCGACCCGGACCGCAACGTCGATTTCGAGATCACCCTCGCCGACGGATCCCAGTTCACCGTCGACCTCGAGCCCGCGGACATCGTCGACGTGAGCACCCTGCTCACCAAGATCAACGCCGAGGCCACCACCGCAGGATTCGGCGCCGTCTTCAACGCGACGCTCTCCACCGGCTCCAACGGCATCGTCTTCGAGGACACGACCGGCGGCGGCGGGGCCGTGAGCGTGGAATCGCTCAACGGGTACGCCGCGGAGGACCTCGGCCTGCTCAACGCGACGTTCACCGCGGGCGCCCCCGCGACGCTCCAGGCGGAGGACCGCGCGACGGTGCGAGTGGACTCGCTCTTCACCGCCCTGATCGACCTGCGCGAGGCCCTGACGTCGAACGACGAGCGTGGCATCACCTTTGCGGGAGACCGACTCGAAGAGGACATCGACCGGCTGGTCACCACCCGGGCGCTCGTGGGGTCGCGGGCGTCGCGGGTCGACGACGAGGTGGTGCGACTCGAGGACACGACCCTGCTCGACACCTCGATCCGCTCCCAGCTGATCGACCTGGACTACGTCGACGCCTCGACGAAGTTCAGCCTCTTGCAGACGCAGCTCCAGGCGGGGCTGCAGGCGGCGGCCGCGATCCGCCAGCTCAGCGTGCTCGACTTCCTGTAACCGCAGGGGCGTCGGGATTGAAAGAACGCGTCGCGCGGGTCCCTGGCCGGCCCCGCGACGCTCGGCACGGCCCGCGCGGAGTTGCGCGGGCGCCAGGACGGCACGGGCCAGCGGAAATGAACGGAGTTCGGCATGGAGGTGCACACCGCCCGCTTCGGTGCGATCGAGATCAACGAGGATCGCATCATCACCTTCCCCAAGGGCCTTCTCGGCTTCTCGGAGCAGAAACGCTACTGCCTGCTCCAGCCCAACGACGACGCCTGCTTCTTCTGGCTCCAGTGCCTGGACGACCCGAACCTGGCGTTCGTCATCACCGACCCCAACCTGTTCGTGAAGGACTACTCCGTCCCCGTCCGCGACGACCAGCTCGAGTCGCTCAAGCTCGCGGACCTGGGCGACGCGCAGGTCTTCGTCATCGTCAACAAGGTCGGCACGATGCTCACGGGCAACCTGCAGGGCCCGCTCGTGATCAACACCCTCGACCGAGTCGGCGAGCAGTTCGTCCTCGCCGAGAAGCGGTGGACGACGCGTCACGAGCTCGTCTCCCTCAAGCAGGACGCCCGCGCCGCGTCCGCGTAAACCAACGGTTCATCACCGGGCGCGGAGCGCCCGAGAACGCCAGCCGGCGCGGAGCGCCGGCGACGACACGCGACGGATGATCCGGCGCGACAACACAATCACGGATCCACGGAGGGATTCCACAATGCTCGTGCTTTCGCGACAACGCGACGAGACCATCATGATCGGCGACGACGTCGAGATCACCGTCGTCGATATCCGGGGCGACAAGGTCCGCCTCGGCATCACCGCGCCGACGTCCATCGCCGTGCACCGCAAGGAGGTGTACGAGGCCATCCGCGAGGAGAACCGCAAGGCCGCCTCGCTGGACGGCGACGCCATGCCCGACCTCGCCACCGCCCCCAAGCCCGTCGCGCCCAAACGCAGCGCGTCCAACTCCCTGAGGCAGCGCCGCGCCTGACCCGGCGCTCGAACCCGCGGACATCGATCAAGGAGGATCGACATGACACGCATCAACACCAACGTCGCGAGCCTGTTCGCACAGCGGAACCTCAACCGCTCGAACATCGACCTCGAGAACAGACTCCAGCGCCTCGCCACGGGCCTCCGCATCAACCGCGGCGCCGACGACCCCGCCGGCCTGATCGTCTCGGAACGGCTCCGCACCGAGCTCCGGGGTATCGAGCAGGGCATCAAGAACTCCGAGCGCGCCACCAACGTCATCGCGACCGCCGAGGGCGCCCTCGCCGAGGTCTCCGAGCTCCTCAACTCCATCAAGGCCCTCGTCGTCGAGGCCGCCAACTCCGGCGCCTTCAGCGCCGAGGAGATCGAGGCCAACCAGCTCCAGATCGACTCCGCGCTGGACTCCATCACACGCATCTCCAACACCTCCTCCTTCGCCGGGCTTAAGCTGCTCAACGGATCGCTCGCGTACCGCGTCTCCGGCATCGACCAGACGAACATCATCAAGAGCCAGATCTTCGGCGCGAACTTCGGCGACCGCACCACCATCGACGTCGACGTCGAGGTCATCGGCTCCGCGCAGCAGGCGAACCTCTTCCTCCGCACCAGCTCCTTCCCCGCGATCAGCCAGATCCCCTCCACGGTGGTCCTCGAGGTCGCCGGCCCGCGCGGCGTCCAGGAGCTCAGCTTCCCCTCCGGCACGGACATCGACCGCATCGTCCAGGCCATCAACGAGCGCGTCGCCATCACCGGCGTCTCCGCCTCGCGCGTCAGCGCGACCGACGCCTCCTCCGGCCTCGTCTTCAACTCCGTGGACTACGGCTCCGAGGCGTTCGTCTCCATCCGCAAGCTCTCCGGCGGCACCACCTTCGACTTCGCCTCCCTCACGAACAACGACCCCGGCCCCATCGACTGGACCGGCGGCACCAACATCACCCTCGCCGACACCGATTTCGGCAAGGACGTCGAGACGCTCGTCAACGGCGCCTTCGTCCGCGGGCGCGGGCTGGACGTCACCCTCCGCGACCCCTCGCTCGACCTCAAGGTCACGCTCGACGCCACCTTCGCGACCACCATCTCGGGCACCCCCGAGGACTTCGTGATCACCGGCGGCGGGGCGCTCTACCAGCTCGGGCCGCAGGTCAACGCCCAGCAGCAGGTCTCCGTGGGCATCGCCTCCATCGCCGCCACGCGCCTCGGCGGGGCCCTCGTCACCAAAACGGACGGCACCCAGGAAGTCCAGTTCCTCTCCTCCTTAAAGGAAGGGGGCGACAACGCGCTCTCCTCGGGCAACTTCCTGAACGCCTCGACCATCCTCGACCAGGCGATCGACGAGATCTCCCAGGCCCGCGGACGCTTCGGCGCCTTCGAGCGGAACGTCCTGCAGACCAATATCCGGTCCCTCCAGGCCGGCCTCGAGAACATCACCTCGTCCGAGTCCATCATCCGCGACGCGGACTTCGCGGAAGAGACCTCCGCCCTCACCCGGTCGCAGATCCTCACCCAGGCCGGCACCTCCGTGCTCGCCACGGCGAACACCAACGCCCAGAACGTCCTGCAGCTGCTCGGCTGATCGGACCTTGAGCGCCACGCCCGCGCCGAGGGCCTCGGCCCTGTAACACGCGGGGCCCACGCCAACGCTCGGAAACACTTTCGGACCACACGCCCCGGGGCCTCCCGGGGCGTTTTTTATCGTGCGCACCGGTAACTCAGGATCCGGCGCAGACCGTCACCCTGAACCCCGAGAAGACGCCCACGGATTCATGCGACACGGGCACTCGTCGATCTCCACATCACGAGCGTGCTCCACGAGCACCTCCCCCGCGCGGTGCGGTTCCTCGCGGGAACGAATGCCACGGAGGTCGCTCGACGTACCGAGCGAAACGACATCTCGGCCGGGCGAGAAGCACCCGGGACACTCAGGGAGGATCGGATCCAATGACACGAATCAACACCAACGTGAACTCGCTCATCGCGCAGCGCGTTCTGACCCAGAACAACCAGTCGCTCAGCCAGTCGCTCGAGCGCCTGAGCACGGGTCTCCGGATTAACCGTGCCGCGGACGGCCCCGCCGGCCTCATCGCGTCCCAGAACCTCCGCGCCGAGCAGGCCGGGCTCTCCAACGCGATCTCCAACGCCGAGCGTGCCGACCAGGTCGTGAACATCGCTGAGGGCGGCCTCACCGAGGTCTCCGGGCTCCTCACCGAGCTCCAGGGCCTCGTCACCGCCTCGGCCAACACCGCCGGTCTCTCCCAGGAAGAAAAAGAAGCCAACCAGCTCCAGATCGACTCCATCCTCCAGACCATCGACCGTCTGGCCGAGTCCACGTCCTTCCAGGGCGAGAAGCTCCTCAACGGCTCCTTCGATTATGAGACCACCGCGGTCGCCGCGACCGTCGACAGCTTCTCCGTCAACCGGGCCAAGCTCGGCTTCGGCGAGACCCGCGACGTCGACGTCCTCGTGACGCAGTCCGCCCAGCAGGGCGCCCTCGCGCTCTCCTTCGGCGGCGCCATCGACCTCACCAACGCCACCTCGGCCTTCGTCATCGAGCTCACCGGCGCCAAGGGCTCTCGCGAGCTCTCCTTCTCGTCCGGCACCACGCTCGCCGACTTCGCCGCCGCGATCAACACCTTCAAAGAGGTGACCGGCGTCTCCGCCCTCGTCTCCGGTGCCGGCCACGTCCGTCTCGATACGGTCGGCCTCGGCTCCGACGAGTTCGTGACCGTCAAGGTCATCAACGATGGCGGCGAGACCGGCGCGATCGTCTCCAAGGACACCACCGACGTCGACGCCATCGGCGGCGCCGGTTCCACGACGACCGCCTTCACCGCCGCCGGCAACGGCATCACCGACGAAGGCCAGGACATCGCCGGCACCATCAACGGCGTGACCCTCGTCGGCAGCGGCACCACCGGCCGGATCAACACCGAGTTCCTCGACATCGAGATCGACCTCACCACGGCCGGCGCCCAGGCGCTCGCCAACATCTCCGCCCTGCAGATCACGGGCGGCGGAGCCGACTTCCAGCTCGCGGGCGACGTCAACATCGCCGGCAAGACCTCGCTCGGCATCGGCAACGTCGCGGCCCGCGGCCTGGGTCGCACCGACGACTCCGGCACCGCCCGCTTCCTCTCCGACCTCGGCTCCGGCGCCTCCCTCAACGTTGTTGACGGCGACACCACCAAGGCCCAGGAAGTCCTCGACGCGGCGATCCGCGAGGTTTCCGGCCTCCGAGGCCGCCTCGGCTCCTTCCAGAGCAACACCGTCGGCGCGACCATCCGCTCCCTCGGCGTCTCGCTCGAGAACTCCACGGCCGCCGAGTCCATCATCCGCGACGCGGACTTCGCCACCGAAACGGCCGGTCTGACCCGGGCCCAGATCCTCTCGCAGTCCGCGACGCAGGCTCTGACGCTCTCGAACAGCCAGCCGCAGGCCGCTCTCGCGCTGCTCGGGTAAAACTGAGGGAGAGAGTCGGACCGATAACATCCGCACGCCCCGCCGGTTTCCGGCGGGGCGTTTTTCTTTTTTGCGCGGCCGGAAACGTTATCGGAACGCGGTGTTCACTCGCGTCGCCACCGGCCGATGATGCCCCCCGGGCCGACAGCCCGGGAGTACATGCCATGACACGGATCAACACCAACGTCTCGTCGATCATCGCCCAGCGGGTTCTGAACCAGAACACCAACGCGCTGGGGACAAGCCTGGAGCGCCTCAGCACGGGCCTGCGGATCAACCGTGGTGCGGACGACCCCGCCGGGCTCATCGCCTCCGAAGCCCTCCGGGCGGAGATCACCTCGACCGGGGCCGCCATCGGCAACGCCGAGCGGGCCGACCAGGTGCTCAACATCGCCGAGGGCGGTCTGCAGGAGATCTCGAGCCTCCTCGAGGAGCTCCAGGGGCTCGTGACGTCCACCGCGAACACCGCCGGCCTCTCACTGGAAGAAAAGGAAGCGAATCAGCTGCAGATCGATTCCATCCTCCAGACCATCGACCGGCTCGCCGACTCCACCAGCTTCCAGGGCGCCAAGCTCCTCAACGGACGCCTCGAGTACACCACCTCGGGCGTCTCCGCGAACGTCAACAACTTCGACGTCCGCGGCGCCAAGCTGGGATTCCAGCAGCAGATCGACGTGGAGGTCATCGTCACCCAGTCCGCCCAGCGCGGCGCGCTGTACATCAGCGCCGGCGCCAGCCCCATCACCTTCCCGACCGGCAACGGGCCGCTCGTCATCGAGGTCGCCGGCGCCAAGGGCTCACGGGAATTCTCCTTCGCCTCGGGCACCACGCTCGGCGACATCCGCGACGCGATCAACACCTTCAGCTCCGTCACCGGCACCCGCGCCGCGACCAGCGGCGCCACCGGGCTCCGACTCGAGAGCACCGACTACGGCGACGACGAGTACGTCTCCGTCACCATCGTGTCCGACGGCGGGTTCGACGACGGCGGCAACCTCCGCGGCATCTACAACTACACCGCCAACCAGAACGACACCGCCAACGCCGCCACCCAGCAGGACTTCGCCTCCGTCAACGCCGCGAACGGCATCCGCGACGCCGGGCAGGACGTCGGCGCCGCGATCAACGGCGTCGTCGCCTCCTCCGACGGCACCACGGCGCGCATCAACACCGACTTCCTCAACGTCGAGGTCGACCTCACCTACGACCCCGCCGCCGGCTCGGCCAACGCCGCCATCCTCGGCAACCTCACCGCCTTCACCATCACCGGCGGCGGCGCCGACTTCCAGCTCGCCGGCGACGTCAACATCTCGGGCAAGGAATCCCTCGGCATCCCCGAGTTCTCCACCTCCCGCGTCGGACGCAAAACGATCGACGTCAACGGCACGTCCCAGACCAACACGCTCGCCGACCTGAGCGGCGCGAACGCGCTGAACGTCGTGGACGGCAACCTCCAGGGCGCGCAGGAGATCGTCGACCAGGCGATCCGCGAAGTCGCCACCCTCCGGGGCCGACTCGGCGCGTTCCAGGTCAACACCGTCGGCTCCACGATCCGGTCCCTCGGCATCTCGCTCGAGAACACGACCGCCGCCGAGTCCGTCATCCGCGACGCCGACTTCGCCGGCGAGACCGCGGCGCTCACCCGCGGGCAGGTGCTCACCCAATCCGCGACGCAGGTCCTCACCATCGCCAACTCCACCCCGCAGAACGCGCTCACACTCCTCGGCTGACACCAAACCGAACAGGGTGATACGCTGAACGCTCCTTTCCCGAAAGGAGCGTTTTTCCATGGGCGAATTCGACGGAAAACACTGCGTCGTCACCGGCGGCACCGGCGCGCTCGGCTCGGCGGTGGTGGCGCGGATCCTCGAACTGGGCGGCTCCTGCGCCGTCCCCGTCTACGACGAGAGCGAGCTCGACGGTTTCGCCCACGCCTCGGACGACCGCGTGGCGCTCACCGTCGGCGTCGACCTCGCCGATGAATCCGCCGCGACATCGTTCTACGCCGATGTCTCGTCGAGCGGACTGTGGGCGAGCGTCCACGTCGCCGGCGGCTTTGCCATGAGCGGCATCACCGAGACGTCGCTCGACGACCTCCGCGCGATGATGGCGAAGAACGCCGAGACGTGCTTCGTCTGCTGCCGCGAGGCGGTCCGCGCGATGCGCGCCGCGGGCTCCGGGGGGCGGATCGTCAACGTCTCGGCGCGCCCGGCCGTCCAGCCCTGCGGCGGGATGCTCGCGTACCAGATGAGCAAGGCGGCCGTCGCGTCGCTCACCCAGGGCCTCGCGGAGGAGGTGAAAGACGACGGCATCCTCGTGAACGCCGTCCTCCCGAGCATCATGGACACGCCCGCGAACCGTGACGCCATGCCGGACGCGGACTTTGACGCTTGGCCGAAGGTGGAGCAGGTCGCGGAAGCGATGTGCTTCCTGGCGAGCCCGGGGAACGCGTTGACGAGCGGGGCGCTGGTGCCGGTCTACGGCATGGCGTGAAGACGCGCCGCCCCCAGAAACGAGGACGGCGCGCGGGTGGAAGAAACAAACGTCGGCCGAGCGCTACCGGAGTGTGTGAACCGGCTGCTCCTCATGGCCGATGATGTCGGCGATCACCGCGCCGCACGCCTCGAGGGCGAGGTAGAGCGCAGCAAGGCACGCCGCGCCGAGGGCGTCGGCCGCGAGGAAGCACGCAGCGGCACTCGCCGCGGCGACGGCCGCGCATCGCGCGACACACCACGGGCAGGCGAACCACCCGCCGGGCAGGGCGCAGATGATCACACACGCCGCGAGGCAGACCGCCGTCCGAGCCGCGACGTGACGCAGGCACGCGCGGAGCACCTGGCGCATCGCCTGCATGCAGAGGTTGTACGCGATCACCGCCGCGGCGGCGCACGTCGCCACGTCCGAGATCGCCTGCTGAGGGCCGACGACGGAGTGCGGTGTGAGCGGGTTGATCGAGTCGAGTTCGTCATCGCTTGTCGTGTCGCCCTGCACCGCGGGTGTGGCGCCCCAGTCGAGCCCTTGCGTGCACACCAGCGCCGTCCCGTCGAAGTCGTCTGAGACGATCTCGACCGGCGCGTCCGGGCACTCGGGGATGCGCATGAACTGCTGGAAATCAGCCTGCACCTGGAACAACGGGCCGATCCCGACGATGTCCGGGTCGCCGCTGGTGTACTCCCATGCGGTCCCGATGACCTCCGCGGTGCCCCACTCCGAGACGATTCGTCCGAAGATCAGACGCAACTCCGGGTTGAGGTCCGCCATCGAGGCGAGTTCTTCGGGCGACATCCCGTCCGCGGCCAGATCCGCGAGCGTCCAGTGAATCACGTCGACCGTCACGACTTCGAAGAGGACATCGGCGTCGTTCTTCGCGTTGTACGCGTTGTAGACACCGGGCTCGTCGGGCAGGAAGTCGACCTCGTAGAACGAGCCATCGGGCGTGAAAGACGTCTCGTACAACTGGTCGTAAACGTCTTTCGCCTGCTGGAGATCCGGGTTGACCGGCTGCGGTTCGACCGGCTGCACGGACGGCCCGACCGGCTGCGCCTGCTGCGCATACGCGGGCGCCCTGAGCAGGTCCAGCATGCACAGATTCAGCATCAGACCGATCATGATCCCGACCACGAACGGGTGGCGGGCGGAACGTGTTGACATATTCACGGAATTTCCCCTTTCATAATATGGAACTGTCGATGTGCGCAAACAGTACGCACAGCAATCCCCACGATTGCTCCGTACGAAGGGAGAAAAGCGCCTTTCTTGTTCGATGAACGCCGATTCACATATCGGACGTTCCCCATCTTGTCAGGGTCGAAAATACCCACAAAACAAGGTGGCATCAACAAAAATGTGACAAAAACGCGCGCAATGACGCACTTTTATATTATGAAGCGTTCGGGCGTCATCGGTTCGCGGTCGAGGCCGGCTCGGCGTGTTCGGCGGAAGATTATTCGCCCAGCGCCGCTTCCACCTTCTGCTTCCACTCCCCGTACCCCTCGCGCCCCATCAGGCCGAACGTCGCGACCTTGCCCGTCTCCACCGCCGGCTGGTCGTACGCGTCCACGTTGAGCATCAGCCCGCAGTACGCCGTGACCATCTCGAAGAGGTAGATGAACTGCCCGACGTGGTACGCGTCGACCCGCGGGAAATTGATCGTCACGCTCGGGCGCTTCGACTCGACGAACGCGAACTCCGTCGCCCGCTTCTCCGTGTTGAGAAGTTTCGCGAAGCTCTGACCCTGGAGGTACTCCAGCGGGTCGGCGAGTTTCGCGTCGGGGATCGTGAGATCCGTCCCGAAGTCGTCGACCTCGAGGAACAGGAAGACCTTGTCGTTCGGCCCCTCGCGGTAGAGCTGCACCTGCGAGTGCTGGTCCGTCGTTCCCAGCGCCTTGATCGGCGTGTACCCCGCGAAGACCTCCTTGCCCTGCAGGTCGTGCTGCTTGCCGAGCGACTCCGCCCAGAGCTGCCGGAACCAGTCCGCCATGAGGTAGAGCTGGTTGCAGTAGGGCATCATCACGTGGTTGCCCTTGCCCCTGGACCCGAGCCCGTGCAGGATCACCGCGAGCGTGGCCGCGGGGTTGTCGCAGAGATTGGGCGTCGAGCACAGACGGTCCATGTCGGCCGCGCCGTCGAGCAGGGCGTCGATGTCGATCCCCGCCATCGCCGCGCTGAACAGGCCGACGGGCGAAAGGACGGAGAACCGCCCGCCCACGCCCTCGGGCACGGGCATCGTCTCGTACCCGTTCTCGTTGCAGATCGTCCGCATCGTGCCCTTCTCGGCATCGGTGATCGCGACGATGTTCTCCGCGTGCTTCTCCTCGCCCAACTCGTCGATGAGCAGCTGGCGGATGGTCATGAACTGCGCCGCCGTCTCCGCCGTCTCGCCGGACTTGGACACGACGTTGAAGAGCGTCCTGGCGATCCCCCCCTCGGACTGCTTGCAGAACTCCAGCACCGAGCCGAGGTACGCCGGGTCGACGTTGTCCACCACGAACACCCGCGGCCCGGGCCGCTTGGTCGAGGGCAGCAGGTTGTACGTCGCGGGGTTGAGCGCGGACTGCAGGGCGATGTTGCCCAGCGCCGACCCGCCGATGCCCAGGACGACCATGTTCTCGAACTTCCCGCGCCGCTTCTCGACGGCGTCCTTGACCGACGCGACGTAGGCGTCACGCGCCGGCGAGAAGGGCAACCCGCGCCACTTCTCCCACCCGGTGTCGCGGGTGGACTCGAGCTTCTCGGTGAGCGCGGCGATGGTCTTCGCCTGATCCGAATCGGGTGTGAAGACTTCCGGGGGGAGCCCGTGATCGCCGACGCGGGAGGAGAGGCACGATCGGTGGTCGATGGTGAGCATGGGGGGAGGATACCAGAGGGGGAGCGGGGGACGGCGGGGGGAGGTGGTGAGACGGTGAGGGGTGAGACGGTGACCTCAGGATGGCAACCGCGAATGTGAATGAGCGGGGAAGGGGCGGGTCAATCGCGGCGGACGATGCTCGTGAAGCCGGCGACGAAGAGGGTGGCGCCGACCCAACCCAACCCTATGTGAAGCCAGAGGTAGCTGCGGTACCAACTGGTCGGAAGCCAATATTTCTCTTGGTGTAGGTCGACGAAGGGGAGTAGCGAATCTAGCGAATATATGAATGCATTAAAACGGGGATATTCGGCAAAAGTATATGGGTCAGCATCCGTGTAAGGCGGGCCAAACCGCTGTCGATAAATAGCGGGTTCAGCGTCAATCGATTGCGTAATTTCAGACGAGATATACATATGTGGAAGGGAAGCGAGAAAGTAGTTGTTCGCGTATGCACATTCAAATACCGCTGTGCCGACAATTAGCAATCCAGTAAGCCACCAGGTCATACGCGCAGGGCGATATCCGTAGCCGATCGTGCACCTGAATACTAAGAGCATAATTCTTTCGAAGTTTGAAATATTGGCGTATAGTCGTCGTTGTTCTTCTCGTTCTATGAGAATATGCTTAGATTCAGAATCGTATCCAATTTTTTTCAAAACTTCAGCTAGGTGAGTATAAGGCTGTGGCAAAAAAGATTCTGCGTCCGCGACGTCGGTCGCATGCTTGCTGCTGTCCAGCCATTTTTTTCTAAATTTTATATCATGTACAGATGAGTGTGTACCAAGGGATGAGTACTTGCAGCCATTGAGCGATATGTTTGTTTGCATGCCGTCTGACTGGTTGGCAGGGAACCAGACTTCGTCGCAATCAATGAATAGAGCTATCGATGAATATCTAAACGATGCAGTACCGTGGATCTTGCTGGGCTTTGAATTATCAAATGGCCGAACGAATGTGATTGATTTGTGTACCGTCGATGATATTATCGATAATGCAGTGTCGCCGGGTTTGTCTGAAAGACTATTGAATGTTGATCCCCATAGCTCGAGCGAATCCAGGGAGGATGATTCAATTAGCACGCTGCCGGTAAAAGTGGCTTCCGAGAGCCGCATTGAGCCCTTGGCTGTGAGTCGTGAGCCGCTGACTGTGAGGCCGTGCTTGTTGGCAACGTGGGAGTTGTGACAATCAATCTCGCCTTCTACGGTTGCTCCGTTGAGGCTGATTGTTCCGGTGGCGTGAAAATTGTAGCGCATGAATAGGTTGCCGAATATTCTTGCGTTATCAATAGTTGCTGAATATCCATTCTTGCTGTTGATAATGGCATTTTCGAAATCGAGATCGCCGTGTATTGTCGCTCTAATAAACTGTACTTCGCCATCTGTTCTAAAATTACGCCGCATAAATACATTGCCAGTTACTGTGATACCATTGGCTTTGAATGCGACGCCCTTCTGGTTGCAGTTGATTGTGGTTCCTTGGAGTGATAGCTCTCCAATCGACGCCCCGTTCAGCGACAGGCCTTGTAATAGCAAGGAATTATTAAGTGTAAGTGTGCCTGGCAAGCGAATGCGGGAGAGGTCGACATGGTCGACAAAAATGATTCCTCCGAGGAGTTGGACGCCAGTGGGATGGACATGGCTCGAAGCAGCATTGTCGCTGAGGAGCCAGCGAAGCAGTGAGGCGCGTGCGACTAGCTGCTTTTTATCCTTGGGTGTGCATGATATCTCGGTTCCTGTCCAGGCTGATTCGAGCATCGCCTCTTCTGCGGTTGAGAGATTGGAAAACTGCTGTTGGGCAAGTTTGTAGAGCGGATTGTTTGGGCTGGAATTTTTAGACATTTCGCCATTAGAGTATCATGCCCCCCATGTTCCACCCCTGGCACGACGTCACCCCCGCCGTAGAAGACCGCGAGCTCCCCCACGGGTTCCGCGCGGTCATCGAGATCCCGAAGGGCTCGGTCAACAAGTACGAGCTGGACAAGAAATCCGGCATGCTCAAGCTCGACCGGACCCTCCACAGCGCTGTGTATTACCCCGCCAACTACGGCTTCATCCCGCAGACGCTGGCCGAGGACGACGACCCGCTCGACGTCCTCGTCTTCGCCTCCACGCCCATCGAGCCGATGTGCCTCTGCTCCGCCCGACCCGTCGGCGTGATGGAGATGGTCGACGAGGGCGCGCCGGACCACAAAATCGTGGCCGTGCTCATCGGGGATCCCGAATACAAGCAGTACCGCGACGCCGCGGACTTCCCCGAGCACACCTTCAAGATGCTCAAACGCTTCTTCGAGGACTACAAGCAGCTCGAGGGCAAGGAGGTCGCCGTCGACGAGATCAAGCCCGCGGCCGAGGCGCTGGCGATCCTGGAAGACTGCCTCCTCCGCTATTCCAAGGTGCGCCGACAGGGCAAGATGGAAGGCCTGATCTGATCGGCCCGTTCAGACGCTCGCGGCGAACTCGAAGCCGATGTCTTCCAGCGCGTCCGTGAACCCTTTGAGAAACTTCCGCTGCTGCCCGCTCCCCGGGAAAGGGAGCCGCTCGTCGACGACTGGGAGCCCGGCCTCGACGAGCGCCTCGTACGACGCGTCGTACACGCTCGACTTGATCAGGATGATGTGCTCCGGGTCGAGCGCACGGCAGCGCTCGATCAGCCCGGGGACGCACGATCCAAGCACCTTGAGCGAGGGCTTGGAGACGTTCTCCTCGTGCAGGTCGATCAGGAAGACCCCCGCGTCACGCATCGCCTTGAGCTGCGACGGCTTGCGCGACCGCTCCCCCGCGTTCTCGCCCGAGAGCCCCTCCCAGACGTACCGGAAGAGCGAGTCCTGGACGTCCACGTCCTCGAAATAGAAGTACCGGTCCAGTGTGCAGGGCGGCGCCTCGGCCACGAGGAGCAGGCGCACGTCGGACGGCTTGTACTTCTTCGCGGCCTTGAGTCGGGTCTTGAGATCGGTCACGGGCGGGCCTCCATCGCTCGGCGTTGAACCCGATGGTAGCCCACGGGTCACCTCACGGGCACGCCCCGAACAGGAATAGCGCCGCCACCAGATCGTTGAAATCCACCGCTCCCGTCGCATTCGGATCGCACGACACCTCGGGCTCCGGGTCACCGAAGGCGAAGAGGATGCCGACCAGGTCGTTGAAGTCCACGGCGCCCGTCCCGTCGCAGTCGCCCGGACAATCATCGAAGCCCGTCGCGGTGTTGAGCAGGACGCGCCCGGTGTTGTCGTAGAGGTCGACCGCGCCATCGCCGTTGAAATCGGCGAAACGACCCTCCGTGAAGTAGCCGGCGATCGCCGGCGGGGTCACGTCGAACCCGCCCGCGCCGTTGCTGTACGCCGTCTCCCCGCGCGTGCCGATGAGGTCGGCCAGGCCGTCGCCGTTGACGTCCGCGGAATCGCGCAAGATCACGGTCGGCAGGCGCCGGAGGATGTGCGCCGGCGCGAACGTGCCGTCGCCGTTCCCGAAGCGCAGCGCGGTGACGATCTCGCCAGTGATGCTCGTGCGGTTGTACACAAGGTCCGCGCGGCCGTCGCCGTTGTAGTCGCCCGGGATGATGTTCCTCGGGCAGATGCTCGACGTGAAATCGATGAACGACGACCCCATCGAGAAGCGGCCCGGCTCGGTGGATTCGTACCGGATCAGCTTGTCCGCTTCCGAGATCCCGACGACGTCGAGCAGCCCGTCGCTCGTGACGTCGATGAGCTCGAAGTTGTCCGCGTCGAGTTCCGTCGAGATGAACGAGAACACCGCCTCGTCGAAGGTGCCGTCTCCGCGTCCCAGCGCCGCGACGACCGCGGGCGATTCGGCGTCGCCGAGTTGTGAAACCACGATGTCCGTCGCGCCGTCGGCGTCGACGTCGGCGAGACGCAGCACCCGCCCGGCGGGGACGGGCAGGGGATACGGCGCGAGGAACGACCCACCGCCCAGCGCGAAAACCACCCAGAGCGTCTCCAGGCCCTCGGTCGCGACCACAAGATCCGAGACGCCGTCTCCATTCAGATCCGACGCGGCGTGCGCGATGACGTCCGACCCGAAATTGAACGTCGTCACCAGATCGGCCGAGGTGATCTGCTCGCCGAAGCGGTTCTCGTACACACTCAGCTGGATCCGCCCACGGATCAGGTCGGCCATGCCGTCGCCCGTGACGTCGGCCGCGACAGTCGGCGCGTCGAACGCAACCGCCCCGTCGGCGTCCGGGTCCTGCGACGGGGTCAACTCACGCGGGGCGTCGAACCGCCGGTCGCCGGCGTTCCGGAACAGGCCGAGCGACGCGCCGACGATCGGGAACGAGAGCGTGACCAGGTCGGTTCGACCGTCGCCCGTCACGTCGCCGCACCGGACGAGCGAGCCCGGCGCGCCGTGATCGCTCACGACCGATTCGTCGTGCATCGCCCCCGACGGCGAGCCGTAGAGCACGCACAGGATCGTCCTCGGCTCTTCGCGGAACCGCTCGACGACCGCCGCGATATCGTCGAACCCGTCGCCGTCGAAGTCCCCGGAATCCAGGCGCGTGATGACCGTGGCCCGGTAGCCCAGCGCGAGCGGCGGGAGGCTCGTGAATGTGCCGTCGCCGGCGTTCCGGAACACGCGGACGAGCGCCTCGAGCGGGTCCGTCTCGTCGCACGCGAGCACGGCCAGATCCGGTGCGCCGTCCCCGTCGTAATCGCCCACCGCGACCTCGGGCGTCAGCGCATGCCCGTTATCGAGCCAGCGAACGTCGAACGCGAACGACCCCGTGGCAAGGCCGACGTGCACCCCCCGCCTGTTCACGGCGCTCGTGACGAAATCGTCGAGGCCGTCCCCGTTCAGGTCGACGATGCGGAGGGACGAGCCGAGCATCATCTCGTCGATCTCGATGCCCGCGCCGAACTCGCCGCCGCCGAGGCCCGGGTAGACCACGTTCGGGAAGGCGATGAGGTCGAGGATCCCGTCGTTGTTGAAATCGCCCGCGTCAAGATCGATGACCGGGCCGGTGTGCTCGAAGCCCGGGCCTTCGACGAAGCCGTTCGTCGTCCCGAGAAGCGTCCGCACGGTTCGCCAGTCTTCGACCGAGTCCGGAGCCGGGCCGAACGCGATGTCCGCGACGCCGTCATGATCGAGATCCGCGACGCACACGCCCCAGACCGGATGGCCGGCATCGATCGAAGACTCGAGCACCCAACGCGAGTTGTCCGTCGGGTCAAGGCCCCAGAGATCGATCCCGGAGGGGGTGACGACGAGCGCTTCGTCGCGCTCGTCGCGGTCGAAGTCGTGCAAGACGATGTCCAGCGCGTACCCCGGGGTCGTTGTCTGCGGGACGAAGGTGGTCATCGGCAGCAGCAGGCGGCGGTCGTTCGGACTGAGTTGCGCGCAGCACGCGTCGGCCATCGCTGACACAGCGACAGCGCTGAGCACGAGTGCTCGGATTGGATTCATTCCCGGAACTCCAGACAGGCAAGGAAGTTAGGCGATGTTTATAGGGTGTATATCGTGCGTTCGGTTCCGGAACGGTCCGATAATTTGCGTGATTTCCGCTTCACCGCACGCTCATTCCGGTGGTTTGTCGACCGGTGGTACCATGCGTTCATGCCCATCACCGTCCCCCACAAGGTGCTCATCGACCGCGAGCAGATCCGCACGCGCGTGGGTGAGATCGGGCGTCAGCTCTCCAAAGACCTCGTCGGCGAGCTCATGAACGATGGAGAAGACGGGCACTCCCACCCGGGGCGGATCGTCATGGTCCCCGTGCTCACCGGGGCGCTGGTCTTCACCGCCGACCTGATCCGCGAGATGCCACTCAAGCTGGCGATGGACATGGTCTCCGTGAGCAGCTACCCGGGGACGACCACCGAATCCAAGGGGGCGGCGCTCAAGGGCGCGATCCCGAAGAACCTCGAGGGCAAGCACGTCGTCGTAGTGGACGACATCCTCGACTCCGGGCGCACCATGAAGCTCGTCACCGACGCCATCCGCGAGCAGTCACCCGCGAGCGTGCGCGCGTGCGTCCTGCTCAACAAGCCGAGCCGGCGCGTCGTCGATTTCAAAGCGGACTACGTCGGATTTGAAATCCCCGACGCGTTCGTCGTCGGCTACGGGCTCGACTACGACGGCTTCTACCGCAACCTGCCCGAGATCATCGAGCTGACGGGCGAGGGGCTCTGATGACTCGCCCGCCCGTCCATCCCATGGCCGGGGGGCCGGGAGACACGGCGGTAGGCGGCGCGACGCCGGTCCACGCGTCGACGCTCGCGGACGACGTCCTGCAGGGCGGGGAGATCGTGATCATCTCCATCCGAGCGAACGTGGGCGCGGTTGTCCTGCGGTCGCTCCCGTTCGTGCTGCCCATGGCGCTGGCCGCGGTCGCGGGCGTGTACTGGCTCGCGATCCCGAAAGCGACGATCGCGGGCACGCTGGGCGTGCTGATCCTGTTCGTCTTCCTCTGGTACGCCCTGGACTGGTCCCTCACGCGGTTCGTCCTGACGGATCGGCGCGTGATGGTCGTCCGCGGAGGATCGGGTTTCGGCGGACGCGTCGTCCGCGAGGCGCTCGTCCCGGCCGTCCACGGCCTCTCGCTCGAGCACACAATGCGCGAGTCGCTCCTCGGGCTCGGGACGATCGAGTTCGTGCCGGACCACGGCGGACGCGTCCGGTGGGAGATGCTCGGGCGGGCGGAGGATGTCTACAAAATCGCGCACGATGCGATCGATCGCTACGGGCGAGGGCGGCTCACCGACTGATATTCAGTTCGGGCTCCAGACACCGAGCATGTTCCCGCTCGGGTCGAGGAACTGGAACCGACGCCCCCCGGGGAATTCGAAGGGCGGGACGGCGATCTCCCCGCCCGCGGCCTTGACGGCGCGCATCGATTCTTCGAGGTCGTTCGAGTAGATCACCGGGAGCGGCCCGCCCGTGCCGGGCTTCTCGCCGCGGGTCAGCCCGCCGAGCTCGCCGCCTTTGGGGTTGATGATCCCGGCGTAGTCGGGCCCGTAGTCGTTGAACGTCCAGCCAAAGGCGTCGGCGTAGAACTTCTTGGCCGCTTCGACGTTCTCAACGGTGATCTCGAGGTAGTCCAGCGCGTGGTGGGTGTGTTCGCTCATAGCGCAGTCTAGGCGTCGCGTTCTTCGACGACTTCGGTTCGTGATTCGTCGTAGACGTACACCTTGCCATCGGCTTCCTTTTTGCACGCGGTGTGGGAGCCGTCGCAAAATGGGAGGTTCTGGCTCAGGCCGCACCCGCAGATCCACACGGGTTTGTCCTGTGGCTCAACTTTGATGGGTCCGGTCGCATCGAGGCGGACGATTCGTGCCATGGAGTCGCTCCTTCGCGTTTCCCCCCGCCCTCGGTCACACAGATGTGTGCATATTGTGCACGATCAGGCGGGCGAGGGCACGCTCCGGGTCAGCTCGTCGAGGATCGCCTTCAGGGCCGCGTCCGTGTGCGACTCGGTCGAGTGGCGCATCACCACGCGGTGCGCCACCACGGACTGGATGTGGCCGATCACGTCCTCCGGAGTGCAGAAATCCCGGTTTTCGAGCACGGCGCTGGCCCGGGCCGCGGCCGCGAGGGCGAGCGAGCCGCGGGGCGAGAGCCCGAGGCGGATGTCCGGGTGTTCGCGCGTGGCGCGCGCGAGAGCGACGATGTAGTCCGTGATGGGCTCGGCGATGCTGACGCGGTCCGTGCGGTTCTGGAGCTCGAGGACGTCGTCGCCGTGGATGACCGCGTCGAGGTCCGCCAGGGCGTTGGACGCGGGTCGCGTCGCGAGGACGCGCGACTCCGTCTCCGCGCTGGGGTAGCCGAGCTCGATGAGCATGAGGAACCGGTCGAGCTGGTTCTCCGGGAGCGGGTACGTGCCGTGGAATTCGTGCGGGTTCTGCGTCGCGATGACCATGAAGGGCGAGGGGAGCGTGTGGGTGACGCCGTCGACGGAGACGGTGGCCTCGTTCATGGCTTCGAGGAGTGCGGACTGCGTCCGCGGGGCGGCGCGGTTGATCTCGTCGGCCAGCACGACGTTCGCGAAGATCGGCCCGTGCTTGAACCGGAACTCGTCGGACTCCGTGCTCAGGATGGAGACGCCGAGCACGTCCGCCGGGAGCATGTCCGGCGTGAAGGTCACGCGGGAGAACCGCGCATCGACGGATCGTGCGAGCGCCGTCGCCAGGACCGTCTTGCCGACCCCAGGCACGTCCTCGATCAGCGCGTGACCCCGCGCGAGCAGGCAGATCAGCAGCTGGTCGATCGCGTCGTCGTTGCCGAGGAACACACTCGCGATGTTGTCGCGGAGTCGGTGGAGCTGGGTATCGGTCATGCGGTGGATGGCTCGTCTGCGGATGGAGAATTCTGCCGCGGAACCGCCCTCGCGGGGCGGAAACCGCACGTCATGGTAGGCGATTCGCACGTCACGCAGGATCGGCTGCTTCTTTATGATGATCGGATGCGAGATCGTGGCGGAATCGCGGGGTTGGGTGAGGCGCTCGTGATCGAGCCCGAACACCTGGACCGCGTCCTCAGCGGTGGGCTGCCTTGCGCCGTGTGCAAGTACGAGCTGCGGGGGCTGTCGATCCGCGGGGTGTGCCCGGAGTGCGGCACGCCGGTCCGCGCGACGATCCTGTTCCGTGTGGACCCGAAAGCGAAGGAATTCCGCCCGCTCACCTCGAAATGGTTCACCTCGTTCGGCGTGATCGCGTGGACGGTCGGGGCGCTGGTCGCGTGCCTGGGGTTCTGGCTCGTGCACGTGTTCGCGTTTTTGCGCGCCGAGATGGACGTGCCGATCCGGCGCGACCTCGCGGAGTACATCACGCTCGCGGGCCTGGCCGCGTCGTGGTTCGGGAGCCTGTCTCTGGTGCGCCCTGTCCGGGGGGCGCCGCTGCAGGGCACGCTCAAGGCGCTCTTCGGCGTCTTCGGCTACGCGATGCTCGTCGGCTCGACCCTCTGGCTGCAGGCGCACGACCGCCAGAGCCTCATCCCCTATCTCGACGCGACGCCCGGGCTCACGCGCACCACGATCCGAGCCATCTCGGGGATCGCGATCGTGATCATCCTGCTCGGCCTGCGTCCGCACGCTCGCCTGCTCGTCGAGCGGTGCCTCGTGTTGCGGACCGGGCGCGTGGACCGGCAGACCATGCTCGCGATGGTCGTCGCGGTGGGCGTGGGCCTCGTCGGGGACGCGATGCACATGAGTGCCGCCCTCGCGAGCGAGGGCACATCGAACCCCATGACCTGGGCCGGCACCCTGCTCATCGCGCTGAGCGGGCTGTTCATCCTCGCGGGGCTCGTCCACGCCCAGCTCGATTCCTGGCACATCCGCAAAAGCCTCCTCGTCCCGAGCCCGACGCTCGAGGACCTCATCGCCGAGGAGCCGCCTGCGCCGGAACAGGCCGCGCGTTAGACATTGCTCAATGATCGGTGGGACAGGCGTCTCGCCTGTCATCAAGCACGCTTCATCTAGGAAAAAGACAGGCGGGACGCCTGTCCCACCGTCGAAATGTGATTCGGTACTGAAGCGTGCGCGCCCTGCCACAGTGGCAGGCGGCCCCCGGGCGGGCAGGAGGGGTGTCAGCCGCGATCCCGCCCCTTGCGCCTCGATCCCGCGGATCGGGGCCGGAATCCGCTCCCTCGATCTTGGCATCGCGCTTGCCGTACTTCCCCGGGGCTGTCCGTTCGCGACGGCTTTCCGATTGGGGCGGGGCAGAGACGATTCGATCACGCAGGCCGAGACAGGCCCACGTTCAGGAGACCGATTCAGATGGCAGTCAAAGAACTCACCTTCGAGCACGACGCACGGCAGGCCCTCCTCTCCGGAGTCGAGAAGCTCGCCCGGGCCGTCAAGTGCACCCTCGGGCCCAAGGGACGCAACGGCGTCCTCGACAAGAGCTGGGGCGGCCCGACCGTCACCAAGGACGGCGTCTCCGTCGCCGAGGAGATCGAGCTCCGCGACAAGGCGGAGAACATGGGCGTGAAGCTCGTGAAGGAGGCCGCCTCCAAGACCTCTGACGACGCCGGCGACGGCACCACGACCGCGACCGTCCTCGCCGAGGCGCTCTTCTCCGAGGGCCTCCGCATGATCGCCGCGGGTGTTGATGCCAACGCGCTCGTCCGCGGGATGAAGCAGGGCGTCGAGCTCGTCGCCAAGGACATCAAGAAGCTCTCCCGCCCCGTCGATGGCAAGAACGAGATCAAGGCCGTCGCCACCATTTCCGCGAACAACGACGCCGAGATCGGCAAGATCATGGCCGACGCGTTCGAGAAGGTCGGCAAGGACGGCGT